GTTGGTCAGCACTGAACAGACTGCTGTTTGCCACCCCACTTTCACCCCACTTGAATCAGTCTGTATCAGGGTTGCTAAGAAAATGGGGAACCTTTTTTTGCTTCTCTGTGTTTTGCAATGAACCTGTGAAGCTAGTGGGACCAATACTACCTGCTGCTTTGCTCTCCTGAAGGGAAACAGATTGTTGTTGCCTGCTGTTTAATAATTGCAGCAGCAGTAAACCATCTTTCTGCAGTAAACAAACACAATTTAGAAGGGTGATTTTCAGGCGGTCATTCTCTCAGCCAATCTATCTTCCAGGGTTGATCTTGTTGGATAAATTTGAGGAAGAAGTCCTATGTATTCCATCTATAGCTCTTGAAAAAAAAAAGATATGGTCATCCAGAAAATATGTGATTGTGCAGAAATGGATAAATTAACTATAGCACTTAAAAACAAAGAGGCTTCAACATTTTACGATAATTGGAACTCTTGGTATAATTGGTTAGTCCAGAGATAAACTGCTTAATGGACAATGGGTAATTTAAGCATAGATATCGATAAGATGTGTGTATTCAAATTAAGGTAGGAGAATTGGATCTTGCAGACTGTCAAAAAGGATATTGTCTGTTTTTAAACGCATCTTTTTTTTTCTTTTTTCTCTTTCTCTTCCTTTGTTTCTTTCTTTCTTTTACATCTCCTCTTCTCTTTTCTTTCCAGTTTGTAAGACCGAGTGTTCTTTTTTTGTTTTTTTCCTTTTGTGTATGTAATGTCGATATGTTTTTAATTGTAAATTTAATAAAATTTATTTAAAAAAAAAAAAAAAAGAAAAAAAAAAGATAGAATGTAAATTGCAAACAAATAATATAGAAAGTATAATATGTAAATGGGTACAAACAGATAAATCCCCCAAATTCAAAAATCTCTGAAGTTTTCAACTTTCTCATCTAATCCACCCATTCTTTCAAACAAGGATAAGCTATCCAAGTAGAGAAATGTCAGAATTGTTGATTTGTTTGGCCTGATTATCTATTTTCTCATTCTGAGTCCCAGTGGAGGGAGAGGATGTCAGCTCAATATCTATGAAAAGGCCTGGTCCTTTTTTCTGACAAATTAGTCAGTCTTGGGGAAAAAAAGGAAAAGAAAGGAGTAAAGATATGAAATATCCCAATGATGCAGAGTATTTCTAGATCCCATGTAATTAACAACTCTTTCAGCCATGAAGTTTCCAAAGAAATCTAACTGATAAAGCCATCAAATGAATCCGTCTCCAAGCTAAGAAGAGATTAACTTCTTCACAAAACCAATAAAAAGTGGAAGTCAAATGGTTCTCAAATATGTCAGTCCTTTTCTTGCCATAGACGTGTCCAGTTTCTATAGCACAAGCATAACAGCACAGAGTCCAGGCTAAATGACCATAAAGCTCAGATGACCACTAATTTTACAGACTTTGATTGTCAAGGGAAGAAAAATTAGCATCTATTTACTGTAACTCAAGCTGTCCGGACAGTGCTTCATTTTGCTCACCAACTATCCAGAGATAAATGTCTTTCAAAATGTACACCTTTCACCAGCCACAGCCATTCTGACCAGGAATAAGGGTTGCGGTTGCTAGAACTTTTAGGTCAGCCACATATTAAAGGCCAGGAATTTCTTATTTCTGAATGCTGTTAATTGGGTCTTTTAAAATAAATAGCCTAAAGGAGACAACTCCAATGGGTTTCTTCGTTTGTTTTTAATGGACATTCCATTTGAAGATGAAAGCAAAATTATCCAAGCTTTAAGGAACATTATTGTTATGATTCTTTGAATCAGTCTTGATTCTTGGGTGACTATATGGACAGATTCATGCAGTTTTGTTGGCAACATTTTCAAAAGTGGTTTTCTAATGGTTTTTCTCTACAGTACCGTCTTCTGGGGTGTTTTTTAATTTCCTATTCTAGGACTGAGAGAAAATGACTGATCTAACTTGTTTCTGTTTAAAGAAGGACTAGAATTCAAGGCTCTCCATGTCTAGTTTAGTTCCTTAAATCCCTATACCCAAATACAGTGTTATTTATTAAGAGATTTCTATATCTCCCTTCAACACTCTTTTCCTGAATGGTACACAAATAAATCAAAATTCTATTCATTCACATCTAATAATAGGGGCCTTGAGTCTGGGATAGTATAATATATATAGAATCCCTGCCATACTAACTCAGACTTAAGAGCCTCAAGGATTAAGTAAAGATGGCAACTGACAGGAAACACAAAATAGCTTTATACATTGGGTATTTCCTTCAAAGATTTTTAAGCAGATGATGATGCATCTGAAGAGGCATCTGGGCAAGGTAAATATCATAGAAATCATGCTTATTTAATCATTAAGCTTAGATAGATAGCTCAAGAAATCCCAGGGAAATATGATTCATAAATGTTCCTCTTCTCATTTCAATACTAATGTTTTAGCACTTTCCTCAGCTCCTTATCAGGAAAATTTAAAGAATTTTTTGGCTCAGATAATACCTGATTTGGAGCTTTTTTTTCACAGTCTTAGATTCTTATGAAAAGAGATGTTAACATTATGGCTTCAAAATGAAATAATCCCAGATCTGCATTAAAAATTAAACAGATACCTGGAAAATGTTTTTATATCTGAGATGATATGTTCCTTATCTTCTGCCCTGAAAATATTGCTATTAGTTTATCAACATTCAGAATCTAAGCACTATGAACCCCATCTTTGTCAGAACAATCAACTGTTTTTGTTTCATTGTAGATCTCGTTTTTATCACTCAATTTCTGAAGTAGGCACGTATAGCAATGTTTGAATGCACTAATTCAATGTATGCTTCCGTACAACAAATTATTACCCAATTGCTATAACAATTGCCTGCTTCAGTTACACAAAGAACAGATCAGTATAAAAAAAACCCATCAATATTGGGAATCTTCCTACTTCAAGAAGTAATTTCTTGTTGTCCACTTGTCCATTTTTTCCTGCCTATTAGCAGTTAACAGTCCCTGGGAATACCTGCCCTCTAAACAAACAATTCCAAAGCTTACTTTGTACAAAATTCGCAGGAAGAAACCAGCATGTGGAAGCAGGACTTTGAGTATCTTGTTAAGAATATCTGAAATATCATCACATAGCCACTTTTGCCTGTTGCTTTGTTTCCTTTGCCCCCACTCCCGCCTTCCCTTTGGGGATAGCATTGCAGCTTTGATTATTTTTGGTGGTTCTGCAAATGCTGCTGCTGCCACCACCAAGCTGCTATCTCTCATTGGCTAGTAGCCAGCAAAACAAGTGGTAATTGCTTATAGTTTGCCTTAACTCCTTTGCTTGTTTGCTTTTATTTTATTATTAAACCCACATATAAATAAGGTGCTATTCCATCTTTATTTTAAAAAGCACAATCTTTGTTAGATATTAACCGTTTCACAGAAGCAAACTATATGCCCTGCATATCTGAGTAAGAACCTAGCCTGTGTAGTTGTTATCTAGTGCTTTCCTGTATTATGCAAAGCTGTAACATTGAGTTAATTGGATAAATATAGTTAAACTAGCTGTAAGTGAGAATAAGAGAAAGGAGGAACTATAGATAACAGGCTATTCTGTGTACTGCCAGCTGCCAGGAAATTCATTCTTATATGAGTCAGGCTCATTGCAAAGTCTTCAAAACAAGTGTCCCACATGCTACCCTTGACAGAAAGAGGCAAGAGAGAAAGAAAGACTTGAATGCACTTCCAGAACAGAAATTTGGTTTCATTTATATTTAAGAATACATTCATATTGCCACAAGTAGAATGTGTTCAAAGAAGAATGAAATACATATGATTTATTAATGTGTGGTTTCCTATTTTAGCTACCTCTTATTGAAATCAAGATAAATGTGCAAAAACTCAGACAAATTACAAACATGTATTTATTCATTTGACATGACTAATAAAAATAATGTTACGGGGAGAAAAAAATACTAGGACCAAGGGAATGCTTTGTTTTTCTTTTTTCTAACTTTGCCTTCTCATCATATATATGTAAGTCATTGAGAGCAAGGGAGCAGGGAAGGATAAATTCTTTTCATAATGTTTTTCTATCACAGAAAAGAAAGTATGTGTTTCTAAAACCTCATTTAGCCTGAAATCTCACCCACTGTGGTAGTATCCCATAAACCTGTTCTGAAAAATATCCCCTTAATGGAATGAGAATTTAATTCCTGCTGCATCAGATCAAGAATCTGTATACTCTTGCATCTTAATCCCAGTGGTGATTGATCTCAAATGTGTTCAGTACGCTACAGAAGTGTTTCTCAAATTCTACAGCTTTAAGATGTGTAGATTTCTTAAGCAAGAATGCATTCTCAACCAATATTTTGGCTGAGGAATTCTGGAAGTTGAAGTCTACACATATTAAAGGTACTGAACTATAGACTTCTAGAACCATCTTTGTGAATAAATGTGAAAGCACTTCTCTGAGAATGACTCATCAGATAATTGTGACTATTATGAGACAGGGATCATATAGTTCTTTCTGAGAATCTCATAGCAGAAATCCGCAACTGCATTGTTTGCCGTTGAAAATTCTCAGAAACTGCAGTTTGTACAGAAGGCAGCTACCAAAATTAGCTTGATTTCATATTGCCAATTTTAGAAGATCCTAAAAGTCTTGGGAGATCAGTGGCTAAAGGAGCATATTTCAACGCATCTCTCTGTAGGTGGATAGAAAACAGATGGGAGATATTTGTGGGTTGCAGTAAATTAGTTAAGAAATACCAGTAATGCAGTGTTATGCTTAAGACTATTACTATGTTGTAGAAATCAGCAAAACCCCGATCTGTTCTAATCTGTGGAATCTATATATTATACCTACCACTTTCATATGGGTCATTAAAACTATGTTAGGTAGGGGTGGCTAGGAACTTCCCTGCCACATTTAGCAATAAGCTGTTGAGTCCATACTAGATAATCTTACTGTCACAAAACTTTGTGGTTTTTTTTTTGCTTGCTCAGCTTTCAAGCCTATTTTCTTCCCATTGCAGATTTTTAAAGAGCACCCTCTGAAAGAAGCGTATAAAAACGTCACTTTTTCCAGAGATGAAGATCCAAGGGAACCTGTACCAAATACTGCTCTGCTTTCTCTTGTGCTGATGGGAGGAACATTTTTCATTGCTTTCTTCTTACGGAAGTTCAAAAACAGCAGCTTTTTCCCTGGCAGGGTAAATTGTCCTTAGGGCTTGGATGAAATAGAATTTTTACTTAGCCTTTTGAAAGAAAGTAGCTTAAATCTGTGCTTGCCTACAGGAGTTTAGTCTGCTATGTTCCATCTATAATTGGAATCAAGTATCTATAAATTGAAGCTGTGAGATGCTGGGAGAAAGGTTTTAATTATCAGCTTAAGTTACAAATATAATAATAGATAATGCAAAGTAATCATCAATGAAGCTGCAATTCACATAGACTGAAATCCACTTACCTGGAAATAAATCTTATTGAATTCAAATAGTCTTGCTATTGAATAATTGAATTGATAGCTTTAATAAGCCATAAAAAGTTATTTCTCTGGATGACTCCCAGGAATAAATAAAAATAAGCTGCTTTTCTACAACATTCAAGCTGATATTTACATGGACAACCACAGGATTGGATGGTTTGTAATGAACATACAAACATATTGATTGAGCATAAGGCTCTCAGTTTAAAAATCTACCTACTAATGGGTAAATCTACAAAGGCAGATTAAAAAAATTACAGGCCTATAGGGAAATCTTAGAAGTCAAAAAAAGAAAATATATAGATTTTAAACAAATGGGACTTCAGTTTCCTATAGAACTTTTTTCTTATAGTGTTTAGCATTGCAATTTTATATAATAGAATTCACAAGGATTACTTCCAAGGACATAGATGTAGCTATACATTGAGATGCAGATAGACATGGACTAAAAGCCTGAATCTCTATGAAATTCAGTAAGACTACCATTCTATCATATTTGCTAATCAGAATATCAATCTCAGTTAAAACGGAACTTTTGTATAAATCCACCCAGAATGTATTGTGCTGCAAGAGAAATGTGCCATTTTTTTTATATAGTGCATATATTGAC